CCCCCCCCCCCCCCCGTCCCGTCGGCGTCTGAATGACCTACAACAGCTGCCCACGAGAAAACCGTCAACTGGCGGTCAGCCTGGCCGACCTCATGATCAAGTGGGAGGCGCACGGCCGAGAGCTCACCCGGTTGCGCCGCGCCGCCACCGCCGCTGCTGCCGCCGCTGCTCCGCCGCCGGAAAAGGACCCGGCGGCCTCGAAGGGAACGAAACGGTCGCTAGAGACCGGCGCCGAGGGAACCGCCACCGCCGCAGCCGGAACATTTACAACGGCAGCGGCGGCGGCGGCGGCGGCGGCGATGGCGGCGACGGCGGCTGCGGCTGCCGGGCAACAGGAGCAAGGTCGAGAGAAGGTGATGAAGACAGCGACAGGGGCTGCCCCCGGTGCGGGTGCCGGTGCCGGCGGCATCGTGGGTTCCGCCGGGGCGGCGGAGGCAGCGACGGCGGCGGCGGCGGCGGAAGGGACGACGGACAGCTTTTCTCTGAGCAAGTCTTCGGTAAGGAGAGAGAGAGAATAGAGAAACGGATCACCGAAGAAGGAAGGTGGTTCGTCGTCGTGGCAGTCATGAGTACCTGGTAGTGTTTTTGGTGTTGTTCCTTGCATTTTGGGCTTGTCTCTGGGCGATGCCGCCACTTGCCCTTTCGTTACTCAGTGATGGTCATACTTTACACGAGGCTACGGTGCCGTGTGCCTGTGTGATGAGCGTTGGGGGCATTGACTGAACGACCTCACTTCTTGTACTCTCGCGCATCGCCACCGCCGCCGTTACTGTATGCTTGCGCTGCTGCTGAACAACTTTCGCCCACCGCGACGATGATGGCGACGCTCTTCTGCCTTACTCAGGTGGAGACGGTGGTGAACTTTGTGGTGCGGGTCGCCCTGTTCGCGATGGCCAACCTCAAGGATAGCGGCATCACTCACCTCTCGAGGCGGTGCCTCGGCCTGCTGGAGAAGGCGCTCGAGCTCTGGCCTGACACCCCCATCAAGTACACGTGAGAAAAGCACTTGTTCGAAGGAATACCAGTACGCAATAGTATGGTTTTCTGGGGTGTATCTCCGATAAGAAGTTTCTGGCAAATGCTCAACAGTCCCGCGCGCCTGGTAAGGACTGGGGTTCGGCACCCCTAGAAACCGCAGGTGTTACTGTTCGGAACAAAACAAGCAAGGCCAGGAATCCCTGCACCGAGCCCACCTGTTCTTAGGTTTGTACCAGGGAGTCTGTGTACAACGAACACCATTCTACAGCATGGACCGTCACAGGTATGGCGTACTAACATACAATAGATTCCATGTACGTCTACAATACGTTCCCCCCCCCACCCACCCCCCGCCCGGTGTGCTTGTCCTCCTTCCTGCAAAACCAAGACCCCGCTCATGTAACACGGGCTGTCTAACCATCCTACTTGTATCTTCTGCTTTGGAACAGGTACTTCGAGAAGCTAGTGCACGTGATGGTCGACATCGACCCGCAAACCGCCTCCCAGTCTCAGCTACAGGCTACCATGAAGGCCTTGCCTGGAGTGCTAGAGGTGAGAAAGAATGTCACGTCTTGTTGCTGGTGTTGTAGTCGTTACCAAACTGTAGGCGGAATTTTGCGCTGTAGCCGACGATGACCCTGATGGACGCCCAGGGTGCTTGAGGCGCGAGGGAGTGTGTACGGAAGCAGTAGGGTTTGTTGTGGCTTTCCGTCCCCTTCTTCATGTCCCTTCTGGACATTCCTTCACCCTCCTGATCCCCGTTTGCCGGCGTTCGCCCTCATTAGCCTGCATTTGCCCGCGTTTCGGTTTCTTACCCCTTCCACTCCTTTTTTTTTGGCCCTGTAACAGGCGTCCTTGGACATTTTGATAATCTCCTTGGGGGCCGAGGAGTCGACCGCCGCCACCAACATCTCCGGAGATGCCACGGCCTCGCTTGCCACGGCCAGCACCACATCCACCGCGAAGACCCCGGCCAGAGTCCCCAACAACTTGGTGCTCCAACACGTGGCCAAGTTTCAGCGCCTGCTGGGACCCTCCCTGCGTGCGGACACCCCCGGGATACGGCAGCGCCTGCTCCGGCTGATCCGGCGGCTCGCCGCGCTCTACGGCCCCGGGAAAGCCCCCAAGGAGTTCCAGGAGGCCAAGTTTTGGGACAACTTCCAGGTGAATTCAATTTTTGGTCAACACCCCCGTCGCGGCTTGCGCTTCCGTATGCACGCACGCACCGTCATACGACTCTGTTTGGAAATTTATGTAACGGTCATTCGGATACAACTGTTATATCCCAATGGTCCCTGTATTTCCAAACTAATGTGGCATGTAGATAAACGACGCACCAATGAGTGACACATCTTAGGTGCCTTGCACAACACGCGCAATGTGACCAGAGGTTGCAACGAAGACCCGATGGACATGGCATGACTGGCTTCGCGTAAATATCTTGAGATTCCTTTCAATCCGCCAAGAAGGGGTTGGCACGTAAAAGCGCTGCAATAGATCTCTCTCTTGGCAGACAAACACGGTAGACACCTTGTGACTGGCATTGGTACGTGAAATATCAGATTTGTGGCACGCTTGCTTCCTGCAACAAGACTTGTTTGGAACAGCCCATGTCGCTGTCTCCACGAGAACCGTCGTGATTGAGGAGCACGTGAAGCTGCATCAGTTGTTGCCAAGCGTCTGTCGACTACCGATAAAGTGCAGAGAGGAACCCCAGTCGAAATTCGGCTGTGATCGATCAGAATCCCTCCCCAGCCACGTTAGGCAACACCGGGATACCGTACCGCACCGAGGTACCGTACCTCACCGGGGTACCGTACTGCACCGAGATACCGTACCGCACCGTACTGCCGTACCGAACACCGGCCTCAAAGCAGCCGAACTACGCACGTGGTATGACTCGAGGAGACAGCAGTACCCGCCGTACATGCCCCAAGCACGTCATATTTTCAGGTTACCTCACGTGCATGCCCTCCTCCCTCCCACAGGGATCCGTGGAGCGGAGGCTGAAGGCGGCACTCGGCGAGAAACCGCCGCCCCCGGCAAACCACCCGACAGCCTGGTACGGCAGCGCCGCGGCCTCGGTCTCAGCGACGGCGTCGGTGGCGGCGGCGGCGGCGGCCAACGGGGGCGCCGGCGTGGCCGGCGAGTACAACCGCAGCAAGGCGCTGTCCTCGGTGAAGATTGTCGAGAGCGTTTCGGCGGCGTACCCGGCGTTCGCGGACTTCCATGCCGCGAGCCTGATGGACCTCGTGAGGATGCTTTCGCGGCAGCACTTCCTGCAGGCCGGGGTGGTGGCGAGCACTCTGGCGGCGAGGTGCGTAGTATTGTTTGTGCATGTGGTAGATAGCCTTTTTTTTGTCCTTGGCGTTGCCGTTCCCGTTGTTTCTTTGTTATTGTTGTTGTTGCTGCTGCTGCTGCTGCTGCTGCTGTTTGTATAAACAGGTGTGGAAGGCTTTTTTTCATCCTTTCAGTTGCTGCTGTTGATGCTGCTGCCGCCGCTGCTGTTGCTGTTGCCGCGACCGTGCTTGCCACCAAGTCGTGGCACCCACAAACCCAACCCGTTGCTTCACCGTGCAATTTTCTCCGCGGTGGTCAACAGGTACGGCGGAAACGCTGCCGCCGTTGCGCTGCCGCCAGGGCTCGTGGGCAGCGACCCGATGAGCCCCAGCTCGAGGCTGCTGCCGACGGCCAGCATGGCGGTGCTCAACACGGCGGTGACGGTGGAGTTCGTGGTGGACGACGCCCCCCTCACGGAGCACGTCGAGGTACAGGAAACCCCGAGGCGTTGTTACTTCTGTGGCCGGGATTTACGCAGCGTTACGATTTTCAAAGGAAGTTGTACAGGGTTTCTGAGCTTCTAAAATATGTATTTGGGTAGTTCGCGGCACGTGTTTTCTGCCTGGTGATTGTAAACACGGGAAGGCAAACCCTTTCTCAACGGGACATGAAGAGCATTAGCTAGACGGGGGTAGCTAATGGTCGATACTAGTTGATTGATTCTGTGTTAATTGTGTGGTCAGATTTCGAAGGTTCTTTCTGGGTGCGCCGCTCATTGTGTGGATGACGTCATTGCCGTGCCTGCCAGGCCCTGGTGATTTGCCTCAAGCTGCTGCGAGGCATCACCGACCGTGCCCAGATCCCAGACAATAGGAAGGTGTTCCAGTCGCTTGCCGCGGCGTGCTTGAGCATCCTCGACAAGTCGGACAACGTGGCGCTCTTGACCACCGTCATGGGCTTCGTGAAGGACTGGCTTCTGAAGGAGCCTTCTCAACCCAACTCCCCGTCTCTGAGCGATCAGGTGGAGGGAGACGCCGATGTAGAACTGCGCGTATCATGTAAAGCATGTTTCTGTGAGCTATTCCCTTTTTTCGCTTGTTTTTGTGGATTAGGCGTCCCTTGCTTTGATGTCATTTTCTCGACATTTTCTTGGAGTTCATTCTGTTCGTCTTTCGGAATTTGAAGTACGTAGTTTACGGCAGCATTTGCCATTTGCGTAAACCAACCTCGAAGTACGATAAATCATTGCAATGAAGCTCACAGTGCGGGCGGGCGGCGTCTGCTCCCTGTTATTTGTTGTCGCTGTGGTTGCCGCTGCCTCCCCGCCACTGTGTGTGGGTGCAGGCCCTACCTTTGGTTGCGTCTGTGGACACACGTGCCAGACACAAACTATATTGTGTGCACGTCCTCCTCTTCGTCTTGAAGGTTTCTGTACGTACGCCTTCCAGTACTTGGACTCATCCGTTGCCGTGGTTCGTCGCATGTTTTCGGTTCCTTCCTGACCGCCTTTGCTGCCATCGTCGCTGTTGCTGTTGTGTTGTTATTTTTTCAGGAACGAAAGATGTTCGTGCAGCGCCTGGTGCGGCTGGACAGACTGTCGGAGGTGCACGTGCAGCCCGTCTTCAAGCTGCAGCTGGAGGTGAGAGAAACAGACGCCGCCGACAGTATCGGTTTTGCTCAAGATCGGCACTCTGTGGTGCCTGGTGCTTCGTAGTTGGTGCCCGCCCTTCGCGACTTGTTGTTGTCGTTGTTGTTGTTGTTGTTGTTGTTGTTGTTGTTGTTGTTGTTGTTGTTGTTGTTGCTGTCCTCATGTAAAATTTCGTTCCAAAAGACAACGGAACGGTTCATCAGTGATGTGATGGGTTCCTCGAGCCGTTGGTGTCAAGCTGCGACACAAAGCGGTGGTAATCGCTCGCCATCCGCTTTCATAGCACCATGGCCTAGCGTTGATTTACGTTGTTTTTATCGTCGTCGTTGTTGTTGTTGTTGTTGTTGTTGTTGTTGCTGCTGTTGTCTTCACACGCGAATCCGTCCCAACCTTTTTTCGTATCCAGGTCCTCCCTAAGTCAATGAGCATCCGTCCTGTTATTTTGTCCTCGAGCCCTTTAGCTCGGTGGTGGTGACGACAGACCATCCGCTTTCGTAGCACCGGGAGACCGTCCGCATTCAATGCACCAGGAACTTAACGCTGTTTTGTTGTTGTTGCGAATGCTAGGTCATCGACGCATTGGTTAACGTCCCGGAGGGGAGTACCATGCCCAAGTGGGTGCAGGCGGAGGCGCCCCGGCTGTTCATGGCGGGCTTGCTTGCTGCCGATCCCGTCCTTCGCAGGTGTGTTCAATGTGCCTTCTTTAGGATCGACCGCGTTAAAGGGCTGGCCAATGACGCGACGTCAGTCTCAGTGCAGCGTATAACCGAAAGGGCTCCCAGAGACCATGATCTGGGGCACCGTGAGGGTGTTTGATTGCGTGTGCCCACTTTGTTGTGTGTCCTACGACGCATGCCCGTGCCTTCGGCGTATGCCCTTGTTGTATATTGTGTGGATACAATGGATGCACCTGGTTAACTGTCGATCCGTTTTTGCGAAGCGACTCTACTTTTTGTGTAGTGCGGGCTTGTCTCCGACTTGTGCCTACCCGAATTTATGAGTATGGCCTCGGAACCAGGAGCGTCTCGGATGCATGTGGTAATTAGTCAAATTGCTCGGACGAGCAAAGTATGACCCCCCGCCCCCCGCCCAAGATTAACACTACCACGGTACGACAGCAGTATCATTTGGTGAATTGCTTCTCCACCCTTTTCAAAGCATACCCCCCCCCCCC